ATGTCTTAGGCCAGTGAAGTTCAAACTTAGTCTGCCAAGTGTAAGACTGCATTCTGGCTAACTAGAGCACACGTTCCTAACTGCAGGAGTGGCCAAGAGTCTGTAACTAGGAGCCAGACAAACCAGCGAGGTCAGAGGATCTCTGTAGATCTCGGTGTGGACTAGCCACCTCTGTTCTCTGAGCTGACTCTGTAATCGGGGGTCCCCCAACCCTCTGAAGGTACCCATGAGCATGGCAGGAGAGAGCGGTGAGAGCTCACAGTAGGTGTTCAGCACACAGAAGGAAGGCAGACTGGGCCACTGTGCTGATAGCCAACTGCAAGTCTGTCCTCCGGAGTGACGCAGGGAGGCTGACCAGGCTGCCCATCCTGAAGCTGGGACTCTGTTTTCCCTTTTAGACATACAGCTCAATTAGGGAAAATAGCCGGGTAGGGGCTCGGCGAGGCAGGCACCTCTGTGGGTCTCCAGAAACATCACTAGCTCTTCATCCCCACTTCTCAGCTAAAACACTAAGATTCACACAAGGTAAGCGTCCTTGAGCTGTCCAGCGATGAGTGAGTGCTCCCGCACCGTGGTTGACTCCTCCCCTGAGTTTCCCAGGAATCAGATGCATTCCAGCCTCAGCCCTTTCGAGTGGCCTGTGTGAGGTTGCTTCACTTCTCTTGGCCTCGGGCTCCTCCTCATCTCTACTGCTCTACTGCTCCTCTCAACTGTGGATGATGAGGCAAGGACAGACATGTCCCCAGCACTGTGTGGCTCTGACAGCAAAGGGTTGTCACCCACGGAGCAGCTGCCATACATTTCCTACCAGCTCCTTGGGAGCTCACTGCTTTAGGGTCCTGGGTCCCCTCCCCACCCAGTCCTCTCCAGCTGCCTGAGGGCCTAGAGGCCCTTGTTGGCTGCATAACGGTGGCCACCATATTCCAGAGACGCCTGGCTTCTGCATGGCAGGAAGTGGGCTTGGCAGGACCCCAGGTGTGGTGGTGGTAAGGGACAAAGCTCCATTTGGCACCTCTACCAAGGAGGGATCAGGAGACAGAGGTCCTCCTTGGGGCCAGAGTGAGCCTCCCCCAGACAGGCTTAAACCTCCAAAGGATGGAGACACTTCCAACACAGTGATACTGACTCGGGCTAGGCTCTGGGGACTCTTTGCACCCCTTGCTGCCTCCACCCTTCCAGAAAACACTCACCAAGCAGACCTGACTGGGATGCTGGGACACAGCAGAGAACAGAGTAGACCATGGCTACACTCGGGGAAGGGGCATGAGTGACAGACACTGGCAGTGATGCATGACAGGGCAAACACCTCCGAGGCACACTGCCCAGGGTTAGCACCAGCTCTGCTGTGTCACCTGAGCAAGCCCTTCACCTCTCAGTGCCTCTGTTTCTGCATCTGAAGATGAAGACTAAGCTCCTGCCCCGTTGGGTGTCCGCAGAATGAAGTCACACTGATAGTCTCAGAGGCAAGCCTGGCCCCCCTCCCCCACCGAAGCATCGCACTAATGCTTTTAAGTAAGCACTGTGAACAGAGAGCAGCACCCAGTCTGTGCTGGCTCAGACAGCGCCTTCAGGGTCACCTCTGAGGAGCTGACATTTGAGTAGAGACATGAGTTCAGGGATGGGGAGCCATGTGGTAGAAGAGCATTCTGGGAAGTGGGGATGGGAAGCACGGAGGCAGGAGCCAGTCCAACGCCCATGGAAAAGCCGCATGTGAGTACCTGGCTGCCACCCTGCAGGATGCTGTGGGGTGAGATGACCCAGTCCCTACCCTCAGGGACAAATGGCATGGTCAGAGTCACAAGATGTCGTTGCCCTAAGCCCCGACGTCCAGCCAACTGCCATCTCTGGCCTCTACTGTCCCGTTTGAGCCGTCCTCAAACCAGGGGCACTAACTGAGCGGCAATTTACAGTGCCGTGTTCTCTGAGTCCCCACCACTGTGGAAGGAAGAGCAAAGGAGGGTAAGTAAGAGAGAAGAGCAAAGGCCTGCCGCTGTCGCAAGAAAGCGTGGGGCTCTGCAGGAGTGAAAAATGTCTGCATGCAGGTTCTCCGTGAGTCCTGTCTGAACCCACCGGTCACCATGTCTGTGAGTCCTGGCTCTGCACAAAACAAGGAGCAGGAGGCTGGGGACAAGTGAAGCTTCTAGGGGAGGTGACATTCAAACTGATCTCTGGAGGGTGCTAACCGCTTGCCAGATGGATGGAGAAGATGCCCCAGTGGAGGGTGCTGGTAACACGGATAGAGTGAGGGGAGATGGCAGAGAGACTCACAGTGCCCCAGTAGACCTCTGGCTGGATCATTCAAGCAGTAGAGAGCCATGGATACAAATAGAGGGCATCTGTCTTTCTTAAAAGGTATACCTGGGTGAATGGCCAAAGAAAGGAGGCTGGAGGGGAAACTGAGGCACCAGGCAGAAATAACTCTGGCCCAATACCACAGAGCCAGGAAGGGCCAGCAGTGGGATTTGAATGAAGTCAGCCTGACTCTTAAGACCTGTATTATCAGTGACAACAACTGTCCACTAGCCATGTTCTGTGGCTCAACTGTTGGGTTTGCCCTGTTCCCAAGCTGGCCTTGGTCTATCTGCCATTGCAGCATGCCTCCAACACCTCAAGAACCTCCAGTGACCCCAACTTACCCATCTCTTCTCAGGGCTGTCTCCAAATAGACTCCAAGACAAGCAGAGAACTACAAAACCCATACAGCCCAAAGGAACATGAGAGAAACCAGGGCTCAGACCTGCCCCAGGCACCCCAGCTACAGTCCTGCTCATGAGAATTCCCTGGCCTTGGCCCAGGCAGTGACAAATGGGCTGTCACTGCTGCCAAGATGGTGGAGTGTGAGGTCCCACCCTGTTCCCAGGCTCTGGGGAGGAGGGACAGGGGCAACCTGCCCCTCCCATCACCATTCCAGTTACCTCTTCCAAGGCAAAGCCCACACTTTGACCTGGGAGTGGTCTGACCAGGGAAACGGCCCCCTCACCCTGCCCTGACACCATCAGAGAACAAAATGCTGGCTGTAGACCAAAGGGAATTCAAGACTCCTAAGAGTGATTGTCAAAGAGCTTCGGGGTGAAAGCCTGCCACCTTATGTTGGATAAGAACAGGGTCACCAGGCTCAGTGTCATTAGCTCTAGCCTTATTTGCTGGCAGCAAATCTGCCCCAGGGCTGGGGGTACAGTTCCGCCAGCAGGGTGCTTGCCAACCATGCATGAATCTCCGGACCCTGTCCCAAGCACCTCATAAAGCACGCATAGACATCCAAGCCTGAAACCCTTGTCTTCTGAAGAGGAATCATGTCTCAAGAAAGTAATAAAATCAAAACAAACACACACACATGACTTACACACGCACATGACTTACACACACACCTTACACACATACAATTTACACACACATACAATTTACACACACAACTTATACACACAACTCACACACTCACACACACAATTTACACATACTCACACACATATACACACAATTTACACACACATACAACTTACACATACATACAACTTACACACACACACACACACACACACACACGTCTAGCTCCAACCTGGCTTTCAGTTGCCATGATTCTGTATCACAGACCCTACCCCCACATCTGCAGACAGAGTCTACTTTGGACCTCGTGAAGCCTCACATGCAGAGAGTATGGTAGGACCTGTCCCTTGCAAGGACTGCAGGGTATCCCAGGACACAGGATTCGGTGTGCACTCAGGTCACCCCACCTTTGGATTTAATGCACACATCATTTGTCTGGTAGAGAGGTGACTCGGGGGTCAGTTAACAGTTTGGGTCCCTAACCAGCGAACTTCTAGTAAGACTGACTCATAGAGAGCTCTTCCCTGTTTACTAACTGAACTTGAATGGCCTGGTTTCAGGTCCCTGGAGCCACCCAGAACACACCCGACCCTCCCCATCCTGGCACTGACCACTTCCTCCCTTTGACCTTAGCCAGCACTTCCTCAGCACCCTTCTTAACCCTCTGGCCAGCTGGCCCACCCTGAGTCCTCTGGAGGCAGCGTGAGGGAGGGGTGTGCACAGCGGGGTTGGGGTGGTAGGCTTCCATTTGTCTGTTTGCGTGGTACTGGCTCAGTCCAGAAGCGGGTGAGCATTCAAAGGAGACGCTTGTGTGTGAGGAACATATATTAGAAGTAAGAGTGAAAGGAGGAAGGAACCTGGAAGGAACAGACTACAGGTCTGAGAAGGAAATGGACCAGACGACGGTGCCGGAACTGCTCACAACAGGGGCCTTGCCTCCACCTCCGAGGCTCCCGGCCGGAGAAGAGATGCCAGCTTCCAGGTCACGTGGTCCTGGCCCTGGCACAGTCCAAACAACAGTGATGGATTTCTGCTGTTAAGATCAGAACAATTTTGCCCAGGCTAACAGATAGGGCTCCTGGGGACCTAACCACACCCAACCTGGGCTATCTCAGGAGAGGCTGGCCATACTGAGTTGGTGACAAGGTTCCAAACAGCAGTTCAACAAAGCCATTTCCCCTGGGTGTACCAGAGAAGGTTAACTGTTCAGTCCAGCAGGGATATGTGTGGCTGGCTTAAAACTGGAAGAAACTTCTAGAATATACCAAGAGTGTCAGAACAGTATCCCTTTGCTTCTCAGTGCTGAGGTCCTGATGATGTCAGTGAGCATCCACGAATGGGACACTATTGATACTCTGCACTGGTGGAGGACAGCCTGGGCCAACTCTGTGGTCCCTGCTGTCCTTCTCTATTAATATGGTTGACCATATGAATTGAACAAGGCTTGTGGCTTCCACGCAGAGTACCTGCTTGCCACGGACAGTCCCAACTCACACCTATTATTCCTGTCCCACACTGGGCACCTCGTTCCCTCTCAAAATGCCCAGGCTTGGTCTCTCTAGCCTCATTTACCAAGCTTTCATCCTGACTCATTACATCCCAGTAATAATCCAAGAGCCAGACACTGTGACCCACGCCTGACAACTAAAGAAACTAAGACTCGGAGAGCTACTCACCAAGGCAGCCACAGGCTGTTCAACCGGTGAGGAGACACCCAGGCTCCTCATGGCAGCTGAAGGAGCTCCTCCTTGCCTCTGTGTTCCAGCTGTGAAGAGCCGGCCGTTTGGCTCACAGGCAAGCAGATGACCTTACTGGCTCCAATCACCAGGTGCTACCGAATCCCTGCCCTTCAGAGTCCAGGCTTTATTCCACCTGGCTCACAAGCTGTGGGCCCTTGGGCAAGTGACTTGGCCTCTCTGGATCTACACTTATTTCACCTGTGCAACTGGAAGAAGTCCAGTTTGCCCCCTGCTGTTAGGCGACCAAGAGGCAGCCCAGTCTGGCGACCTCCACACAGCCAGCAGAGTCGTGGACAGGCCCATTGCAACACGAAAATGCAGTCAGCCCCTCCTCCCTAAGGAATCACAGAACTCGGGACAGATGGTTATAGAACCTCAAGTGAATCCCTACCTGGGCCTGGTGCCTGCACGGGCTGCTGTCCTCAAAGCTGGCCTGCCTTTGGCTCTAGGGAAGTGCAGGACCAGTCCTCCCTGCTTCAGACTCCTGCGGAGCGGGGGCCTGGTAGATCTGGAGACCACAGTCAGGAGCAGGGCACCAAGGAACTAAAGGAGGTGTGGAACATGGTGGTGACTGGTGACACTGCGGTACGGACAGAAAGGCAAGGGGTTGGGGGAGAAGTGATGGAGAAAACTTAGGGGGAAGAGGCAAGACACCAAGACAAGAAAGATGAAGGCAGAGAAAGAGACACCAGAGAGACAAGGACTAAGGGGCAGGCTGCAAGGTCAGAGAAGAGAGCCAAGACCCAGATCCCAGGCAGGAGTGGCCTGAGCTTTGACCTGGGAGGTTTGAGCCATGGGCACTGGGCAGTCCCTGTGTTGGGCAGAAGAAGGGTCCATCTAGGGCTTTGGGTGATGTCACAGAAAAGCTCTGGTTTGTTTGTTATTCGCTGACTTACGCAATGCTGGAGGAGATGGACCCCAGGGCCTTTTGCATACAAGGCCAGAGCTCTGCCCTGACCTGAAGCCTCTTTCAGAAGAAGCGTTATTCAATGAAAGGCATTTGGTGACAGAGTGGGGGCCCGTATTTGGGAAAGTCCTGGCAGAGACAAGGAGGATTAAGACATATCAGGCCTCTCTGGATGGAGTTTGGGGTCACTGACTTCTCTAGAAGCTTCCACCACCCACCCGTTGGAAGTGAGCAATGAGGAGGGCCGGGAGGACAGGTCATTCTCCTGAAAGCACTTACCAAGGGCTTGTGGGAAGGAGGCAGCAGATCTGTACTATATGTCAACCTAGTCCACAGGAGGCCACCACACAGCTACCAGGAGGATGGGAGCTAGACAAAGGAGTGATTCCTACAGAGGCCCCACAAGGACCCGTCTTCCCCTGTGATACCACAAAGAGCTAGAACCAAGTGGAGGTTAATTCGAAATCCCAGGCTTGTCACCGAAGGTCACAGAGACCACAGGCCTAGGAGTTGGCTCCACACACTCAAAAAAATGAAAAATTGCTGTTGATATTTCCTGAGAGGGTCACCATCCACAATTCAAGTTTGATATCTTTTCATCATTAAATTTCTGACTAGGTGCACAGCTCCACCCAATTAGAGATGTTCAAACCATGTAAAACTATAGAGTTAGAACAGAAAACCCTACGCCTTCCACACCACCGTTCATCTGTTCCCCAAGGCACCCAGCTCCTGTACTAGGTTACTGGGTGTCCTTCTGAAGTCTCTGAGTAATTACAAACGTTTTTCCTGATCCCCCCCCAACACACACACTTTGTATAAAAAAAGAAGATACATGCACCTTCCTTATCCTATAGTAGATTTGGGAGATGGTAAAACACAGCCCCTCCTTCTAGATAGCTGCAAAATATTTCACTGTTAGGTTGACCAGCTTCTCAATAACCAGTGCCCTGGGCATGGGTTCTTGGCTCCTTCCAATTTCTTACTGTTGGGAGGGATGGGCACTTGATCTCTGTCTAACCTCTCGTGTTACATGTTGTAGGCAATCTTGTCACATGTGTTACAATGTTACAATGGAATCCTTAGCGCCCCCCCCCCCAACTCCATCTTACTGGATCTCACTGGAGTTTGTTGTTTTAAGTTTTCCTTTGTGTTATCCTTTTTGTCATTTTTGTTGATATGTGCTGGCCTGAGACAGAACCCAGGGCCTTGTGCCTACTAGGTAAGTGTTCTATCTCTGAGCTCCCCTCCCAGTCCCTGGGGGGGGGGGCTTTTATAATCAGGAACCAGGGCTGGCCCTCCTTTGAAGAGCCATGCTGTGTTAAAGAACGTGAATTGCACCCTCCTGTGCCAAGGGGTCCTCACACAACACAGCCACACCTGCAGTACCAGTCACGGAAATATCTGCTCTGGCTCTGATCATGATAGCGAGCCCACTTCAGGCCATCAGTTTCCACATTTATCCACTGCATCTTGGGCTGCTGCAGAGAGCAGGAGAGCTGCAGTGTGCTGGTAGATGGATCCCTGGGCCCCAGGCAACCCTATGGGTACAGCTGGATGGTGGGGGTTCAGAGAGTAGCCTGGGGGAGCTAGAGAGGCAAGTCTCTGCAGAGGGCAGGTGACCAGCATCGTCCCTGAGCCTGAGGCTGGAGCCTGCGTACCCAAGGAGGGTGGTTACCTGGTGTGCTGAGGACTCCTAGCTGCTGCCAACTTGAAGTTGCATTCCATTTCTATTTGCTTCTAAAATAAAACAGTGATAGCCCCGGGTGTGGGGTGGAGAGAGGAAGAAGCCACTTCCCAAGCCCTTCAAGAAGAGTCCAGAGGAATCTTCCAGCCTGGCCCAGGAGCAGTCCCTGGCAAGCCACAGTGCCAGCCTGCCTCTGACAGGAGTCTTGTTCTCGGGAACACTCATGGTTCTTCCATCAGGTCCTCCCTACAGGCCCTGAGTGGCTGACAGAGGAACCTTTGTCCTCCTCTCGGCTCCCTTGTCCTCTTGCCAAGAGTCCTGGCTGTGACTTCTCTATTGGTTCAGGTTTCCAAGGCCCCTTGGGTCTGGAGCCAGGAATGAAAACCCTTGAAGCCCCAGGACCCTCACTGGCCATCGCTCATGCTCCTCCCAACCCCTAATTCATCCTCAGCCTCCCCAAAGCCCTGATGACTCCCCCCCTCGGGAGAGAAAACTAAAGCTCAGGAGAGTCAAGCAAGCTGCCCAACACAGCTAAAAGATGGAGAAGCCAGGAATGGAGCCTCAAAGACAGAGTCAGAGCGTGGTGGTAACAGATGGAGCCCGGCCTCCAGTCCAAGGCTGTTTCTTCTTGGATTCTGTGTCAGTGTGCCCAAGTGAAGCAGTGCCAGTATGTACCTCGGAGGGTAAGTATTAGGATGTAAGAGGAAGAAAACAGACCTCGAAGAAAGCAGACCTCAAAACAATAGTGGTGGAGCCCCAGCAAATCCACTAGAGCCCGTGCTATTGCGCTGTGTACTTGCACGGTGAAGAGGCCTGAGCGGGACCCCAGATTTCTTCTGTCACCTTCTATTTTACTTCCGTGAGGAGGGCCTCTCACCAAATCAGAGGGTCACGGTTTGTATAGGCAGGGCCTGCAGTGCACTCTCAGGATCTACCTATCCCTGTCCCGCAGTGCTGGAGCTACCAGGGACAGCAGGGACCCTGTTCAGCTTCCTACGCAGGTGCTGGGGATGTGAACCCAGACTCTCATGTTTGCAGAGGAAGCATCCTCACCCACTGAGCCATCTCCTAGACCCACTACTGTTACAATTGAACAGGTTCTCACTGCTCTGTGCCTTGGCTGAGGGTGAGCCCCCAAAATCTCCTCTCCTGCCACTCACCTACCTCAGCATGACAGAAAATGTCCTAGGATATCTTCTCACACGCCTGAAGTGTAAATTTAGGAGAGAGGGGTGTCCCCAAGCCCAGTAGTGTCCCAAAACTCGCTAATCAAACATAATGATTTCCTGGGACAGCGTTAAATTTTAAAGAAAAAAATTCACAATGGAAAAGGGGTCCACTTTTAAATAAAAATGAGCTCATCCTGACCAGGACCCTGAGACATACCCTCAACATATCAAGGCACCCAAACCTCACCTCATCAAAGACAGCTGTCTGAGCCACAGTCCTCGGTAGAATGTCCAATAATGTTCTTTTACTTATTTCTGTCCCTTATCAGGCTCCTGGCTCTGCAAGGAAGGATTCTTCGATGTCCAGGAAACCGATTTCATCTGTCCTGTCACAGATGTGAGGTGACAGATACAAACGAAACCTGCCAAAGTGACACCTTTGCGAGCACTGTGGTTAAGGCTGCCTGGCTTCAAACTCTGACTCAGGTCAATCACTTACTGTGTGTCTTGGGCAAGTCACTTAACCTCTCAGTGTTCCTATTTCCTCAGGGGGTTGTGGGGGGAGGCAAGAGGAAGAAGGCTTCTCACCTGCTGGAGACTCCCTCAGACCACAAGGCACACTCTCCTTCAAGTTTCTTATCAACCACATGACAGGAGGCCAACCCTAGCCTCCACCTCTGCCTAGAGCTGCTCTAAAGGCTTATGGAGGCCTCCAGTTATTTTCCTTTTTGTTTTTTTGGGGGGGGTTGTTTGTTTACTTGGGTTTTTTTTTTGCAGAGATGGGTTATTTGTTTGTTTTTAGAGATTGAGTCTTACCATGGAGCTCAAGTGACCTCAAACTCTGCATCCTCCTGCCTCAGCTCCTGAGTGCTGGGATGACATGAACGGAACATCATATGCAGCCTAAAAGCCACATTTATGCTTAAAAGTACATGGACTTAAAAAAAATACATGGATTTGTGTTGAAGAATGCAGACATCTTAAGCTGTCCAATGCATGCCTGCACACACACACACACACACACACACACACCCTTAATAATGTTATATATCTTCAAAATAAAACACCACACACACCCACAATAACTGTAGCTAAGGTTTGTTCTTCCTTGAGGAAGAGAGAAGGCCTCGGTGACACCCCAAATCCTATTCCCTGAGAGTCTGTCCCTCAACTGTCAGGCTTGCCTGCTTGCCCAACCCCTCAGTGTCTTCTGAGTACCAGGATGTGGTGGATACAGGGTGGGGTTGCTGGGTGTGTGTACTAGGCAGCAGACACACTCCCTCCCACAGCCTGGTAACTGGGTCTCACCACAGACAGCTTCTGGAGGGAGGGACCACCCAGACCCCTTGCTCTGAGGTCATACATGTGCCTGGCCACAAGAATGGAGGCAGAGGGAGAGCAAAAGGGCATAGGTGTCCATAGAGTCACCAAGACAACACACATACACTCCACACCTCTGCATCC